AACAAACCGACCTACTTCTCACGGCCCTGGTGTGGTTATGCTGGGGATGCTGGGATCTTGGGCTGCAAGTTGGCAACCTGCTGGTGTTGTGGCTTGGCAAACAACAAATGCTGGGGATGCAGGGATCTTGGGCTGCACGTTGGCAACCTGCGGGTGTTGTGGCTGGATGTGAGGACTGGGTCGAAAACAACAAATGCTGGGGATGCAGGAATCTTGGGCTGCATGCAGGTTGGCAACCTGCAGGTGTTGTGGCTGGATGTGAGGACTGGGTCGCAAAAAAAGACATGCTGCGGATGCAGGGATCTTGGGCGCAACCTGCAGGTGTTGTGGCTGGATGTGAGGACTTGGTTGCAAACAACAAATGCTGAGGATGCAGGGATCTTGGACTGCAGGTTAGCGTTGTTGTGGCTGGATGCGAGGACTTGGGCAATCTGCAGGTGTTGCAAACAACAAGTGCTGGGATGCAGGGATCTTGGGCTGCAGGTTGGCAACCTGCAGGTGTTGTGGCTGGATGTGAGGACTGGGTCGCAAACAACAAATGCTGGGGGTGCAGGGATCTTGGGCTGCAGGTTGGCAACCTGCAGGCTGGTGTTGTGGCTGGATGTGAGGACTGGGTCGCAAACAACAAATGCTGGGGCGACTTGGTGGGACTACCTCAGTGGAAACAAACCGACCTACTTCTCACGGCCCTGGTGTGGTTATGCTGGGGATGCTGGGATCTTGGGCTGCAAGTTGGCAACCTGCTGGTGTTGTGGCTTGGCAAACAACAAATGCTGGGGATGCAGGGATCTTGGGCGCAACCTGCAGGTGTTGTGGCTGGATGTGAGGACTTGGTTGCAAACAACAAATGCTGAGGATGCAGGGATCTTGGGCTGCAGGTTAGCAACCTGCAGGTGTTGTTGTGGCTGGATGCAAGGACTTGGACAATCTGCAAGTGTTGTGGCTGGGTGTGAGGACTGAATCGCAAACAACAAGTGCTGGGGATGCAAGGATCTTGGGCTGCAGGTTAGCAACGTGCAGGTGTTGTGGCTGGATGTGAGGACTTGTCGCAAACACAAAGGTTGACAACCTGCAGGTGTTGTGGCTGGATGTGAGGACTGGGTCGCAAACACAAAATACTGGGGATGCAGTCGCCAACAACAAATACTGGCCTGCAGGGATCTTGGGCTGCAACAAATGCTGGGTATGCAGGGATCTTGGGCTGCAGGTTGGCAACCTGCAGGTGTTGTGGCTGGATGTGCGCACTGGGTCGCAAACAACAAATGCTGGGGATGCAGGGGTCTTGGGCTGCAGGTTGGCAACCTGCAGGTGTTGTGGCTGGATGTGCGGCCTGGGTCGCAAACAACAAATGCTGGGGATGCAGAGAACCTGCAGGTGTTGTGGCTGGATGTGAGGACTGGGTCGCAAACAACAAATGCTGGGGTCTAGCGGGGATGAACGGATCTTGGGCTGCAGGTTGGCAACGTGCAAGTGTTGTGGCTGGATGTGAGGACTGGGTTGCAAACAACAAATGCTGGGGATGCAGGGATCTTGGGCTGCAGGTTGGCAACCTGCGTTGTGGCTGGATGTGAGGACTGGGTCGCAAACAACACATGCTGGGGATGCAGGGATCTTGGGCTGCAGGTTGGCAACCTGCAGGTGTTGGATCAAATGCTGGGGATGCTTGGGCAGGTTGGCAACCTGCATGCAGGTGTTGTGGCTGGATGTGAGGACTGGGTCGCAAACAACAAATGCTGGGGATGCAGGGATCTTGGGCTGCAGGTTGGCAACCTGCAGGTGTTGTGGCTGGATGTGCGGTCTGGGTCGCAAACAACGAATGCTGGGGATGCAGGGGTCTTGGGCTGCAGGTTGGCAACTTGCAGGTGTTGTGGCTGGATGTGAGGAGCGGGTCGCAAACAATACATGCTGCGGATGCAGGGATCTTGGGCTGCAGGTTAGCAACGTGCAGGTGTTGTGGCTGGCTGGATGTGGAGACTGAATCGCAAACAACAAATGCTGGGCCTGCGGGGAGCTTGGGCTGCAGGTTGGCAACATGCAGGTGTTGTGGCTGGATGTGGGGACTGAATCGCAAACAGCAAATGCTCGGGATGCAGGGAGCTTGGGCTGCAGGTTGGCAATGTGCAGGTGTTGTGGCTGGTTGTGAGCAGGTGTTGTGGCTGGATGTGAGGACTTGGTTGCAAACAACAAATGCTGGGGATGCAGGGATCCTGGGCTGCAGGTCAGGTTGGCAACCTGCAGCAAATGCTGGGGATGCAGGGATCTTGGGCTGCAGGTTGGCAACCTGCAGGTGTTGTGGCTGGATGTGATGCAAGTTGGCAACCTGCAGGTGTTGTGGCTGGATGTGAGGACTCCTGCTGGGAATGCAGGGATCTTTGGGCTGCAGGTCGGCAACCTGCAGGTGTTGTGGCTGGATGTGAGGACTGGGTTGCAAACAACAAATGCTGGGGATGCAGGGAGCTGCAGGTTGGCAACCGTGGTGTTGTGGCGTGAGGACTGGGTCGCAAACAACAAATGCTGGAGATGCGATCTTGGGCTGCAGGTTGGCAACCTGCAGGTGGTGTGGGTGGATGTGAGGGATCTTGGGCTGCAGGTTGGCAACCTGCAGGTGTTGTGGCTGGATGTAAGGACTGGGTCGCACAAACAACAAATGCTGGGGTGTAGAGCTCCAGCACCTTGCGCGCCACTGTGTCCACGCGAGCCAGGCGCGTTGTTTGCGACCCAGTCCTCACATTTGGGGATGCAGGGATCCTGGGCTGCAGGTTGGCAACCTGCAGGTGTTGTGGCTGGATGTGAGGACTCCGTTGCAAACAACAAATGCTGGGGACGCAAGGATCTTGGGCTGCAGGTTGGCAACCTGCACGTGTTGCGGCTGGATGCGGGACCAGGTCGCAAACAACAAATGTTGGGGATGCAGGGATCGGTTGGCAACCTGCAGGTGTTGTGGCTGGATGTGAGGACTGGGTCGCAAACAACAAATGCTGGGGATGCAGGGATCTTGGGCTGCAGGTGTTGTGGCTGGAAGTGAGGACGGATGCAGGGATCTTGCGCTGCAGGTTGGCAACCTGCAGGTGTTGTGGCTGGATGTGAGGACGCTGGGGCGCAGGGATCTTGGGCTGCAGGTTGGCAACCTGCAGGTGTTGTGGCTGGATGAGGACTGAGTCGCAAACAACAAATGCTGGGGATGCAGGTCTTGGGCTGCATGTGAGGACTGGGTCGCAAACAACAAATGCTGGGGGTGCAAGGATCTTGGGCAGCAGGTTGGAATGTGCAGGTGTTGTGGCTGGATGTGAGGACTGGGCCGCAAACAACGAGCTGTGGGCTGCAGGTTGGCAACCTGCAGGTGTTGTGGCTGGATGTGAGGACTGGGTCGCAAACAACACACAGGGATCTTGGACTGCAGGTTGCCGGCTGCAGGTTGGCAACCTGCAAGTGTTGTGGCTGGCATTTGGTGTTTGCAGTCCTCACATCCAGCCACAACACCTGCATGTCGCCAACCCGCAGCCCAAGATCCCTGCAGCCCCAACAAATGCCGGGGACGCAGGGATGTTGGCAACCTGCAGGTGTTGTGGCTGGAAGTGAGGACTGGGTCGCAGCAACAAATGCTGGGGATGCAGGGATCTTGGCTGCAGGTTGGCAACCTGCACGTGTTGTGACTGCATGTGAGGATGCTGGGGTGCAGGGATCTTGGGCTGCAGGTTGGCAACCTGCAGGTGTTGTGGCTGGATGAGGACTGGGTCGCAAACAACACATGCGGTGCACGCAGGGACCTTGAACTGCAGGTTGGCAACCTGCAGGTGGTGGCTGGATGTGAGGAGTGGGTTGCAAACAAGAAATGCTAGTTTGCCAACCTGCAGGTGTTGTGGCTGGATGTAAGTAAGGATTGGGTCGCAAACAACGAATGCTGGGGATGCAGGGATCTTGGGCTGCAGGTTGGCAACCTGCAGGTGTTGCGGCTGGATATGAGGACTGGGTCCCACCTGCAGCCTTTGTTGCGCCAAGAACGACTGCATCAAAAGCATTTTTCGCTCATCAGCAGCGAGCCACCACCCCTGCAAACAAGACACCCGCAGCGTTCAGCCACAACACCTGCAGGTTGCCAACCTGCAGCCTTTGTTGCGCAAAGACCCCTGCAAACAAGACATCTGCAGCTCCCCGCGTACAGCCACATCACCTGCAGGTTGCCAACCTGCAGCCTTTGTTGCGCCAGGACGCCTGCATCACCAGCATTTTTTGCTCACCAGCAACAAGCCACCACAACGCAGACAAGACACCCGCAGCCCCCGCGAACAGCCACAACACCTTGTTGCGCGAAGGCCCCTGCAGACAAGAGGGTTGCCAACCTGCAGCTTTGCGCCAAGACGCCTGCATCACCAGCTTGTTTTTCCTCTCGCCAGCAACAACCACTCCTGCAGACAAGACCTGCAGCCACAGGTTGCCAACCCTCCTGCAAAACATCGCCAGCATCGCCAGCATCGCCAGCATCACCACCATATCCCGTATCACCAGCATCACCAGCATCACCACCGGCATCACCACCAGCATCACCAGCATTACCAGCATTACCAGCATCACCAGCATCACTGGCATTGTCTGGATGAAAGTCATTAAATTTTAGGTCCCTAAACTCTTAATGGCTAAAAATCTGAAAAGGCTCAAGGACTTAAAATCTGAAGATCTTAATGGCTTAACGCGTTCACATCTTAGTAGCTTAAAGTCTGAGTAAAGTCTTAAAGTCTTGCTTAATGTATTAAAACAATCATAGGTTAAAATCTAAACATCTCAATGAATTAAATCTTAGGGGCTTTAAATCCTGGCTCAAAATCTACAAAATAGAATGGCTGAAAATCTTAAAATCTTGGCAGTGTGTGGCCGGTCGTGGCCTCCAACTCATTCAGCAGCTTTGTTGATACGCTTCCAGCTGCCACTGCCGCATCAAGCCTCAGGCCGTGAACTGCAAGCTCAGAATAGCACGCATGCTTCATGTTTGGGCCAGGGCGAGGCTAATGTCGCCTGGAGCCCAACGCCACCTCAGACAGTGAAATGCATGGGTAACGCCGGAGTTTCATTTCAAGGCTGAGGCCCTGTCAGATGTCTTCGGCCAACAGGCGCAATCCCTGCGCCCTGGCCTGTCAAGTGCTGGGCAGCGCAACATCCCTGAGACAACAAGACAGGCCAGTGCCTTCTCCGAGCTGACACCTCAGATCTTTTTTAAGCACGGAGCATGACAAGGCAAGGACCTGACGGGGAGATCGGGACCTGCCACCATGCGGCCTCGACGAGTTGCAAACGTATGGACGCTTTGACTGCAGTTGGCCCCAGTTCCTAGTTGGCTCCAGCTGGCTGCAGTTGGCTCCAGTTGGCTCCAAGCTCTTGCCTCTGTGGATTCCCTTTCAAGGCCCTGCCTGGCCCTTGCGGAGCTTGGAGGCTCCTTGCAGCTTGGCAGTGCACTTCCCTGCATCCCAACCGCTTGCCAGCCTGTGGCCCAAAGAAGTAGGGATCCAAGTATGGGTCGCAAGTGGCCAGGGACCTGAGAACAAGTACAGGCATTCAATGAGCTCGCTGCGTCAGGCAAAAGCCGCCCAAGGCCGATGCTGCGCATGTGTGTCATCTTTCCTTTTGCTGCGCCGTCGCTCCTTCCAGATCTACAGGCACATCTTGAAAGTGCAGCAAATGCAGCCAAGGTGCCTCTCCAAGTGCTGCACTGAGGCGCTCTGCCAGCCTCAGGCGCAGCCCCCATCACATTCAAGCGAATAGCTGCCCACATGGCTGGCAACCTCCTGAGAGCCAAGCGTAAACTTTTTCCCGCTGGTGTCCAAGCCGCGCCTGGGCTTAACCCAAGAGATTCTAGAACCTGGCCAACTGCATACCTGTTGCACGAGGCCAGCGCTCGTGCAGGCGATCCTGCAGGCAGTAGCGAAGTTGCCAAACTAAGCTCAGCTACCATGCAACATCTGCGCATCGCCGCAGCCAGCACAATATCGGCAACCGACACTATGCAAGCAACATGGCCGGGAAAGCTGATGAGCTGCCTGTAACTCCTCAAGGCTGAGGTGATTGAGTGCTCGCACATCCATGGCACACGACCAGTTTGTGGGAACAAAGTTGGTTGGCACTTGCTTGTTTTCCTGTGTTTGCTTGCGTAGCAACAAGCCGGCCATCTTCTTTGTTGCAACCGTTGTTCTTCACGTCTGCGCATGCATTTCTAAAATAATGAAGGTGTGGGCTCGATGCTGAGGCATTGCAAGGCACTCAACCCATGAATCATCATTGCATGTTGGCGTCTGCATGCAGTGCTGACACCAGCCGGCTGTGAAACACTGTTTTCACTGACTGCTGCCGCTGCTATTGCAAACACTCGCATGCATCGCGCTCCGCAGCAACTTCCTGAGCATGTGTTCCCAGGCAAGCTTCAGGCTGAGCAGCGTACCAGTCTTCGCCTAGGTTCAAGGTCACGGCATCGCGGAGATCCAGTTCGGCTTGAATCTCCGGGCCTGCGCAACACACCCTGCATTTGCCCGCCTGCCGTGCCACAACATACAATGCACATCCAGAAATGCACTTCACGCCTGTGAACCCATGCCTTGCCCACTGCCGAACCTCGGACCACAGAACTTTTCGGTTGCGCAGGCTGGGTGACTGGTTTAATGTTGCATGGGTGCGTGAGCGCAAGCAGGTATGTGTGGCATGCGGTTCAGCTCATGCTACTACACGCTATCGCAAGTTCCCATCCGTGCGCCTGTGAGACACAAACAGAACATAAACACAGACATGCCAATAAAGGCACGAGAATGAACAAACAAAGGCGCAACAAAAAAGGACACGGAACGATAGTTTATTTCCTAAAGAAGGCGAGTCTATCCGTTTATGTCGCTACTTTTGACCTAATGACTTGTCAATGCATCCATCTACCCATTCATCTACACATCTAACTATGCCTATCCATGTACCCATCTGTCTGCCTGGCTTGCTATCTTTGCGTCAAACTGTTCAATACGATTATAAACCCTTTTGCGTGATTTCCCTTCCATTGGTCCATCTGTTCTTATCTGTCTTAACCGTTCTAACTTTTGCCCTACGACAATCTATCTATTCTATCATGCTACTAATCGCCTAGCTTTCCTGTCATCAGTGTTCCGTTGTTCCTTTCTTTCTTTAGTTTCTTCCTTTCTTTCCGCCCTTCCTTGCTGGCTTGCTTTCTTTCTTCCCTCCTTTCACTATTTGTTCTTTCTGTCCTTCCTTCCTTGCTTTTCTTTCTTTCTTTGTTTCTTTGCTTCTTTGTTTCTTTGTTTCTTTGTCTTTCTTTCTTTATCTCTTTCTTTCTTTCTTTCTTTATTTCTTTCTTTCCGCTGTCTGGCTTTCTTTCTTTCTTTCTTTCTTCCTTCCTTCCTTCCTTTCTTTCATTATTTCTTTCTTTCCTTCCGTCTGTCTGTCTTTATTCCTTTGTATCTATTTATTTTGTTCTTTCTTTATTTCTTTCTTTCTTTCTTTATGTCTTTCTGTATTTCTTTCTCCTCTTGTTTCATTTTATTTCTTTACTTATTTATTTTCTGTCTTTTCTTTCTTTCTTTATGTTCTGTTATTTTCTTTTATTTTCTGTTCTTTTATGTTCTTTCTTTCTTTCTTTCTTTCTTTCTTTCTTTCTTTCCTTCCCTATTTCTTTCTTTCTTCCTTTTTTGCTGTCTTCCCTGATTTCTTTCTTTCTCTGTTCTTTCTTTCTTTGCTCTTTCTTTATTTCTTTCTTTATTTTTTTCTTTCTTTCTTTCTTTCTTTCTTTCTTTCTTTCTTTCTTTCTTTCTTTCTTTCTTTCTTTCTTTCTTTCTTTCTTTCTTCGCTCTCCTTTCTTTACTTTCTCTACTGTCTTTACCGTCTTTTCTGTTCTTCATGTTTGTTATTTTTCCCTCTTTCCCTCCTTTCTTTTTGTCAGCTGGTCTACCGTCTGTCTTTCGTCTCTTGCTAACTGTCAACAGTTGTCTGTCCGTGTCTGCTTGTCTGTCTGTGGCTTGTGTGAGGTGCGTGTCCAAACTTGTGCGCATGTGAAGGTGTACGCGAGTTTGTGCTCCTCTGTGTGCGCGTGTCTGTGTGTGTGTGTGTTTGGGCTACCGCGTTGCACGGGGCTGCCCACCAAATTACCTGCCCAAAGTGACTGATTGCTACACTCTGTATTGCAGCCCTATGATCTAAATCCGAACTCGCCGCTGACCAGCGCAGCTAACCACACCGTTGGGCCGGCCAAAGGCTCGTATTTGCGGGGGGCATCTTGCTGTCTTTGCACGCGGTGCTCGCGGCACGTGCAGACCTCTGAGGGTGCATCCTCGCGCAGCAGGTCGTCAATGATTTCTGCAGCTGACAAGACCTGCAGACGCAAACCAGCCCGCAAAACGCACCGGAAGGGCAACACACACGACACGCAAAGCAAGGACATAGTGACACGGTGTGCCTGGAACCCGGCATTGAGATTCCTCACCTCTTGCGCACCCCAATCTCGCTCACATAGGACCAGTGTCTGCTTTGGATCACAATTCCTCTCATCGGGGCGTGCAAGGGCATAGGCAGCATTGACGGTTGCCTCACACAGTTCGCTTCTGTAAGGTTGAAAGACTGAGAAGTTCAGCACCCATTTGCATGCAAGGTTCTGCAGTAGAGGGGTAGTGGATAAGCCTGACATGATGAAGCCAGAGAATTAGCACCCCCAGCATGAGGAACATGCCCCAGCCTTGGCAAAGGCTGGCCAAGCGATTTGCGAAGTTTTACCGCAGCCACTTGGTCCACCACTTGCGCAGTGTCACCTGTGCTAAGCTATCCCGCGGCAATGCCACATACATCCATGTATTGCACCCATGCAACGTATTCGGACTCGAGTGTCTTAGGATCCAGGCGCATAAGGTGAGCAACATTTTGAAATCTCTCCTGGCATGTCGTCTCGAAGCAGAAGGTTGGAAGTGGATCGCCATCAGCAACTGGTGCCAGTACCTGACATTGCAGGGGAAACATTGCGGAGGAACATGTGTTTCCCTTCACCTTATGGAACATTTGCATGTCAAATAGATTTTGGTCTGGTGGTTTGTGGTCTATTGCAGGCGTGGGCACCGCGAAATCCAACGCCCAAAGCCGCAGTCGCCTGACGAGTGGCCCCCAACGGCCGGACTTTTAAAAAATACAACAACAAAAACAGAGAACCGGACTCAAAAAAGAAAACGAAGCAACCACCGGCAACAACCGGCAACGGGCAACGGGCCTCAGGATCGGCGCGTGGAAGTCCACCAAAACATCAGCTTCACAGCGCGATTCGATGCGTTCCCGACAAGTGAAGCGCACACCAGCTCCTGAAGAGACTTGACTTGACCCTCGAGGTCCAACAGAAAAATACCAAGCAACTCAGCAAATTGCAAAGAGTTCTTATTTGAGAACGGTCCTGTAGTTGACCGCTCATAACTATCTCCAAGATACACCTTTGCCAAATGATGCATCCATATGCATTCTTGCGAATACTTGCCCAGGGTGAGGCTCACACACGCAGAAGGCGAACTGAAGACGGGTCAATGCCCTGTTCAGACAGACTCCGCAGCACCACGAAGGAGATGGCACGAAATGCATTGCTAGCTTGTTCCTTGGGCAGGCCAGGCGCGGGCATGCAACTATCCACTATCAACTGCTCCGTCCGTTGCAATGGAGCGTCGATCCCAATTTTGCGGGTCCGACCAAAGAGCAGAATCTCTCGACCTCAGGCCGCGTTTGCTTTGTTTGGTGCACTCATGGCCTTTTGGGAAGGGAGGTCTGCTTTGCAGTCTGGCTTGCAGCTTCTTAGGCTTGGGTGTAGGGTTTAGGGCTTTGCTTTGAATTGCAGATCGCAACTTCCCTTTCAAATCCCTTTCATTGCTTCTGCTCAATTTGCTTTTTGCTAGTGCAAACTGTCCACTTCAGGAGAAGGAAGCAAGGTAATTTCAACATCTTGAGTTTTGTTTCGTACAACGGAGTTCGGGAACTTGAGGCTTGCCTGCGGCCCGAACTCGCCAACGGAATTGCCCTGCCAAGATTTTGATGGTCCCGAAATACGGCTCTCGAGAAGCGCGGGCAAACCCCGGCTCCTAGCGTCACGGACAGCAAAGCGCGCAATACACCAAAGACAATGGACAAATACCATCATGGCACACGTGTCATCCAATCGCAGACATTGGGCGATGCCTTTGTGCATGTTCAACCCAACCGCGCTTCCAAAAGCCGGATGGCTGCACTCCCATCGGCAGGGATCCGTTTTTGGACTACAAGAGTGATCATTTGAAATGGACATGAGCCCGTGAATTGCTTCCAAAATGTGTGCCTGCACTGCGGCCGGAAACTACGAGACCTAAAATAGCCGCTCCCGTATCGCACCCACGCAATTTGGGCCTGAAGATAAATTCCCGGGGAGAGCCCGCTCGAATGATCTTTTGCCGCGCTGCCCATGGCTGGTGAAGGCCAAGCCCTTGAACAATTCGATGCTGTAGGAGCTGTCTGGAGTTTTGAATCCTAAAGCTGTGTGCCTTCGTCTGGGAGTGTTTCCTCAGCCGGTTTTGAGCCCCTGCATCTTTGAGGTTGTCTGTAACTGCTAATTGGGCTCGTCGGTGTTTGGACTTTGCGGCGCTTCAGTGCCAAAGGTGCTTTGATTGTACAAATGTGTGATTTCCTATGATTTCCCTACGCCACACGCATGGTCGCTCATAGGGACCCCCCAGCATCAACGCATGCGTTGCAGTTATTTTGAGTGGCGCAGCTTCATGCGTTTGAAACTTGTCTGTTCTACTGTCTCGTTGTGCGCAGCCAGGATTGTGACACACGCGGGGGACATTGGCATCCGCACCGTCCGGCTAGGTGTGTGTTGTGCATCTCCATTGGACGCTGTTCGCGGCCTTGATGGTGTTCTGCTCTGCGACAATTGGGTCGCTGTCGTAGCTGAGCTCAGAAAATGGTATTTCCCCATAGTAACGGCACGATTCACGATTCACTGGCACTAAGCAACTTCGGCACTTGACATCATCCTAGCTATGTGTGAAGAGAGCATGCAACCCGTGGCGCTCCATATCTGGCACAGTTCCATAGCGGCCGAGCGTCGCTCCGTGCCATCAACCTTCAACTACAAGTATGGATTACATGCTCTCAAACATTGCACCAAAGCATTGCGCGTGTTGGTTTCAGCCCATGGACACTTCCGGAAGTTCTGATTCAAATCTTGCCGCTGCATTGGGTTATTAGGTTGCAGGCTGTGCTTGCCCCCTGCCTCCAAGCAGAGGATGCGACTGTCAGCCAGGCCGCGCAAGAGCCACGTTGGCCGAACTGCAGCGCCCAGCGACAGCTTCCACGCCTCCCTGAGCAGTCCCCATTGCACAACAACGCCGTGGCTTCAATCACTCAATTCACCAGGCAAAGCTCACACCATTGCTGGGTAAGCATCGGCTGGCCCCAAAGCTTGGCTGGAACACTGAGAAACAGTGGGTACTTGAATCCATGAGTAAGCCTGTCCACGAGCATTTGCATACTTGGCGAATCCAGGATGAGCAGGATGTGATATTTGCCACTTCGTGAGATCGTAGTGTATGTTGCATATGAAAATTTCCCGCAGAGCCGAATAACCCGCTCTTCTGCACCAGACGATAATGGCACCTCCTGGCCCATTCTGACTCGCTGCTGAAATTGCTTCAAAATGATGTTTGTGATCTGCGTAACACGGAAAAGCTGACCCAGCAGCCCAAAGCCGGCTGCCACACTGCGCACTGCGTGGCACTGACCGGCAGCAAGTAACCTCCATGCTGCATCTGGGCCTTCTAAGTGCATAAGCAGCTCCTTCACATCATAGCCCATTGCTTGAGCTATAAGTTTGGCGTCTTGTGTGCACCACACCACTGATGGAAGAAGCTGTTCTGCGGCATACCGCACGACAAAGTGAAGAGAAGCGGCATGGGACAGTTCCACCAGAAGCAAGCCTTCAACCATTCCAGCACCAAGGGTGGTCAGCAAGCAAACAGCCAGCCTTTGGACAGCAGGGCGGTCCAGAGCTGACTGCAGCACAGCCCCTGCCAAGCGTTGCGTTCTTTCCTGTGACCATGAGAGCCTGCAATTATGAAGATTTGTCGTGAATTCGGAATCTGCGGCAATACCTGCAGCTTGCATTGCATAAAGCCACAACTTCCATCCAGTCACTTCAAGCCCATTCAAAGCAAGATGCGGGCATCAGGCAAATGCGTCACCATAAGGTGGACGAATTCATCAATGTCGATTTTGCCATCCGAATTCGTATCAGCCTGTGCAATGCACTGATCAATGTACTCCTGAGCAGCTGCATTACATCTTTGACAGGCTAGCTTTGTAGGCAAGTGCAACTCTATTTCAATGCCGGTCCTCCGAGACATTCAAGTCGGAAGCCTGTGTCAGGTAAAAACACGTCCGACAATCAGCTGCGCCAATGCCTGGTTTCTCTCGCGGAGAAGCTTCTTGACCTCCTCTGGGTCCAACAGGCCATTGTTGTCCGTATCGGCCTCCTGTTGACTCCCATCTCAGACGTACCTCTTTCGCTCTTTCTCTCCTTCTCTCTTTCGCTCTTTCTCTCCTTCTCTCTTTCGATCTTTCTCTCTTCTCTGTTTCTCTCTTTCTCTCTTGCTCTTTCTCTCTTGCTCTTTCTCTCTTTCGCTCTTTCTCTCCTTTTCTCTTTCGCTCTCTCTCTCTCTCTTTCGATCTTTCTCTCTTTCTCTGCTTCTCTCTTTCTCTCTTTCTCTCTTTCGCTCTTTCTCTCTTTCTCTCTTTCGCTCTTTCTCTCTGTCGCTCTTTTTCTCTTTCGCTCTCTCTCTCTCTCTCTTTCTCTTTCGATCTTTCTCTCTTTCTCTGTTTCTCTCTTTCTCTCTTTCTCCCTTTCGCTCTTTCTCTCTTTCTCTCTTTCGCTCTTCCTCTCTTTCGCTCTTTCTCTCCTTCTCTCTTTCGATCTTTCTCTCTTCTCTGTTTCTCTCTTTCTCTCTTGCTCTTTCTCTCTTGCTCTTTCTCTCTTTCGCTCTTTCTCTCCTTTTCTCTTTCGCTCTCTCTCTCTCTCTTTCGATCTTTCTCTCTTTCTCTGCTTCTCTCTTTCTCTCTTTCTCTCTTTCGCTCTTTCTCTCTTTCTCTCTTTCGCTCTTTCTCTCTGTCGCTCTTTTTCTCTTTCGCTCTCTCTCTCTCTCTCTTTCTCTTTCGATCTTTCTCTCTTTCTCTGTTTCTCTCTTTCTCTCTTTCTCCCTTTCGCTCTTTCTCTCTTTCTCTCTTTCGCTCTTCCTCTCTTTCGCTCTT